TGTGTTCCAAGAGCGATAATTTTGGGAGTTTACGTACCCACTTAAATGAAACCACGCTTCATCAGAAAAAAATGTTAGATCTAGAATATCGTCGTCATTCAGATTTTCGTTAAACCAATTACAGTATTGCACACGTTTTCCAAAATCTAACGGAAGTAGTTCCTGCACAACACTAACTTTATAAGGATGAAAATGCAACTTCTTTACTGCTTTATGGCATGATCCATATGATATTCCTATAAACAATTTAGGAATAATGATACAAATTTTAGAATAAATATTTGTTATTAAGTACCTGTTTGAGCAGATAACCGACGTAGTGATTTGGTTGGACTAGCTCGTAAGCGGTTTTCAACATCTTCCAAGACTTCCTCTGTAAGAATAGACTTTCTGCCTGGAGATTTTCCTCTACAAACACTTCCAGTGTTATGGAAGCGTTCCACTAATCTCTTCACGTGTCTCGAAAAAATTTCATAATCAATTTCATCATTTGGAAATTGTTCTTGAAATTGTAAATGACACGAATTCATCGAATATTTCCAACCATTACCATTGTTTTGTCCACTACGAAAATAGGCCTCCAGAAGAAATTTATCATGTTCTAATGAAAATGCCATGTTAACCTAAATTAAAAAACCGATTAGGTTAGAGAACAACATACGCAATAAATTAATTACTCACGTATAATATCCACCTACTCTAACTGTAGTATTGAAAAATACTGTTTTATAATGTCGCAAAATATATCAGGTAACAACAAAATCTACAAAATAATATTCAAGCCAAAAAATCCGTGCGCCAATGAACAGAACGTCAAATTGTGAAATCGCCACAGAACACCATGAAATTGCACGGAAAAAAAAGTAATTTTAGCAAACGGAAATCAGTTTTGATAGCAATTGAGACAGGGTACGTTCATAATCCGGTCAATCATTCTCGATCTCTCTGTATTAAACTGTGAAAGATGCCCCAAAGAGTGACCGCAAAAATCGCCCGTTTTTTCACAATTCGTAGAGAACTAAAGAAAATGGATAAAAACATGTTTTTGATCTCAAATTACTCGACGTAAAAAATTAAGATGAGCATAGCTTTTAGTTTTTTGAAAATTTTTAAAAATCATCCCTATTTAGGGGTTGAAAAGACGCCCAAAATGAACAATTGAATATTGCCAATAAATATAAAAACTATTAGCATGTGAATTTTTCTTTCTATTGAATGATTCTTGATACAAAGAAAGATTTATTCTCATGACTGAAATAAGCATGTTGAATTAGAAAATCCATCCTTAAGCGCGCTCAGGGGTGGAATCATCCCCAAAAACAGAGAATATCAGAAATAATTGTAAACATTCCAAAAAAATTATATTAAGATAATTCACATGTTAATAGTTTTTATATCAATTGGTATGAAGGTTGCTTTCGCTGTACAGCAAGAATAAAATGCTCTCTCAACGGTAATAATAAAGTATCTTATTGAAAATTAAGTTGTATAGAAAAAGACGTATTGTCGATTTGAGTCTTTGCTGGAGAGTCTCTGTGTGTGTGGAGTCGGTCCTAGGTATATGAGTAAGCATCTGGTCGCCGGCGCCAATCCGCCGTAGACCCTTCTTGGAACGCTGGCGCATCCGGCAGCATCCTGCTGGCGCTCTTGACGTAATGCTTAAAAATGGGTTACTTGCCTGTACCCACAGGTAATATTTAAATTCTTCATTTTTAGCATTTCAACCTTTTCAAGTAGAGGTGATTTTTAAAATTTTCAAAATACTAAATGCTATGCTCATTTCAGGTTTTTACGACGAGTAATTTGCGACCAATAACATTTTTATGTATATTTGTTTAATTATCTGCGAATTGTGCAAAAACGGACAAAAATCACAGGTTTTTTGCGGTCACTCTTTAGATTCTTCTTGGTCACGGATACGAAAAGAAATTATAATAGAGTTAACATCAGATCTCCTACTATGAAAACAGGCAAAAATAAACAAAATTAAATTTCAAAAGTATTTTAAAACAAAATGTCATTCCATGTTTTGAGATTGACAAAGACGTATTGAAGTGTGCGTCACTAAATTTATGCCAATATAATATTCAATTCAGTGCTCATGCCTATGACTGCCTTTTTTTTGTTGTTTACATACCTAAATATCCAGTCTCAAAATTAAATATGTAGGTATTATAATTGATGTGAATTTTTCGATCTTCGATGAAAAAAATATATCTAAAATTAGTGTTGTAAAATGCTAAAGAAATTTTTTTAGTGTATTTTTGCCATGAACAAACGAGAAAAAATGGAGCATGAAAATATAAAATTAAGAAATACGAAATATTTTTATATTTCCGGGAAAGTGGTGAATATTTTTTAATTTTCTCAAAAATGCTTCATATTTTTGCACATTTTTTGCACAAGTAATTTTTAAAAAAGTAGTTTTTAAAATATGGAATGCCACTTGTATAGTGCGAAATTGGAGAACATTCAGAAAAAAGTTCCTTTTATATTCCTGAAGAGAACATTTGCACACATTGACTTTTTTGTTCGTAATATTCTCAAACCCATAATGAAACGTTTATGTTATTTTAATAGTCCCTAATGGCGCAACTTTTTTCTATTTTTAATTATCCTGTATATCTAACCAGTTTCGGTATCTCTATGATAAATATCTTTGTCTTGGATATTGTGTGTTATAAATCAAAGTACATCTTGACCACTTGAGCATTTGAAAGGGTTTGTACAATGAATTAAATTTCTGTAGGAGGCAGACCGTGACGTCGACGCCCTGCTGGATCGAACTACACCTAAACGGCCCCCTGCAGTGGCTGGACCGAGTATTGACACAGATGGGATCACCAAGATTACCGTGTAGTTCAATGTCATAAGGAACGAGAATATTTTCGAGGGTGTTCCTTTGGCGAGAACACATGATTCGGTCGGTTACTGTATGTATCTACTATACGTACTAGTTATTTTGATTTATCGTCATATTTGAAATTTTATAAATGATTATGTTTTGTTTTATTGATTGTTACGTGAGACACGTGTTTGCATCATGTTTTTTGATAAGTGATAAGCCTGATAAATTACTTTATTTCTAGTTACGTTTAGCTTTACAAAGGATTTATATTAAATTATGGATTCATTTTATATTTGCCGAGTTTAGGGTGTACGTTTCCGCGGCGTTGCAAATTTTTCCAGGTGTCGTCATCGCGTAGGACAGATTTACTGCCACGGTTTAATGATGTACCTAACATATATTTTGTTATTTGGGGCTGGTTCCTCAAAACTCATAAAATTTTATATTTCTTAACATAGATATTTAAATTAGAAGAACTCACCTCGATAAATATGCAGATTTAAAGTGACGCAATACACAAACGTGGTATTAAATATCTTACAGGGCGACAGTACTCAAAAATTGTTTCATTACCAATTTATGTGATTCGTTACTATAAGTACTAACTTATGTTACTAAGCAAGAACATAACTGCTGTTCAGTACTAGCATTTGTAAGTGTGGCCCATGAAATTTTTTTGGTTTGTATAATTCCTAAAAATAAATTTTTTATAAAAATAGTATCGTTATAGATGTACTTGCTGAACGATAAAATAATTGGTAACCTACGGCCTGCTGTGATTTTTTTTTAAAGAGCTGTTTTACACTGATTTTTTTTATGAATTAATTTAGTCATTTTATGAAGTTGGACAAGTGTAATACATTGAATCTGCTGGGAAAGAACTTCATGAATTAAAACTTTTTTTATAGTGAATTTTTTCATGAAATAGCAACGAAAATAGTGAGATTAAGTTATTTGTTTACATATTTACTTCGGCACGTTTCTAAAGAGTGTCCCAAAATTCACGCAAGAAGTAATTTTGATAGAATACACAGATTTTTAATTAAAAATTGTTAATTTTTTATTGATCCATAAAGTATAGGGTTATGTATGGAATAGCAAATCAGGTAAATGGCCCCCACGGTTTTGCTGGCATATACACAATCTGGTCAAAATGTTCTATGACCGTTTTAAATTAATGTCTTAATTTTGTTGATACATTGCTTAATTTCCTCCTTTAATGCATGGGTGGTCGTGGACTTACTGGCATAAACCTTTGACTTCAAAAAACTCCAAAGTACAATTCTGATCACCAAAACAGGAAATTTCTCGACTGAGAAATGACTGTTATTGCCTCACCAGCTGCATTTTCGAAAAAGTGGTCAGATGCTGTGGCGGTTTTACCATAAGAGCCGCGGAGCTGCAGAACACATAAAATTTTATGTATTTAATCATTAAATATCAACAAAATATTTAATGAATCCAAATGTTCTCGTGATAAATCTAGGAGCTTATATTATTACGACGCAAGCTATGCCCCTTAATATATGCAACCTCATATACAAAATGTGTGCACAGCGAACAGTTAGATGCATCCTTTGTTTTTATTGGCTAATCAGGCATGCGAACCAGTACATGAATATATGGAGTTATGTGGCTGCAATAACGACAGCCACTGCTGCAGTAAATGCAGTAATATTTCTTACGTGGTATTTGGTGGTTTATTTCTGCGAGCGGTACGGGTAAATATTTTCGTTTAGGCGTCTACGGATATTATAGTTATCAAAATGAATAGCGTTTCGTTTTTACAAAAAACATTATTTGGTTCTCTGCCATATGAGGATAAACTAAAAATAAAAAAATTAGGTAGGCCAACACCAAAATTAAACATTGAAATTAGTGGAACAAGCCAAAGTTAAAGTTATAAAAGACAATTTAACAATAATGTATGCACAAAAACAGAGTGGGTGTGCGGGTGTGATATAAAAAATGCATTGTTTTGTTTTCCGTGGGACAATATACGGTGAGAAAGATTTAAGTCATTTAACTCAGAGCATCAAGGGGCATGAAATAACAAAAAATCATTTGTTGAATGAGGTTAACTTGGCCCTATTAGGTAAAATAAACATAAGAAGTCAGTTAGATTCTGTATATTAGGATAATATCCGGAAACACAATGAACAGGTAACGAAAAATCTTATGTATTATCTAAAATCATAGATTGCATACAATTTTGCGGAGCTTTCGAATTAGCACTTCGCGGACACGACGAGACAGGAAATTCGGACAACCCTGGTGTGTTTCGTGGACTCATAAATTTTAGTGCGGATCTTGACGACATATTGAAAGAACATCTAGAAAGGGCTACTATTTTTAAAGGAACTTCCAAAGATATACAGAATGACCTTCTACAGTGCATGCTTGAAGTGTGCAGAAACAAAATAATAACTGAAATTAATCAGTCAAATTATGTTGCTGTCATGGCAGATGAAACTACAGATGTTTCTTCAAAATTTCAAATGGTTGTTGTCTTGCGCTACGTACACGAAGGCAGTCCCGTGGAAAGATTTTGGGGATTCATAAATCCGGAAAAGCACGATGCTGAGTCTTTAACACATTCTATTCGTTCCGTACTTGATCCATTATTGAAAGAAAATTGTAATAAATTGATTGCTCAAGCTTACGATGGCACGACTGTTACGAGCGGTAGGCATGCTGGTGTTCATACTGTGATTGTACCGGGAATTAGCTGTACGGCCCCGGATTTCAGATTTGCACGTATAACTCCCGGAATATAATATAATATATAAATATATAAAAAAAAGATAAAGAAAAAATTATAAAATGGCGAGGAAAATTAAAATTCGTTGAATCATGGGTAAACTTTACAAACGATTTTTTGGTTTATCAACAAAATTTAATAATTTAATGAAATATATTTAGTTTATTCCAATTTATTTATACCGTCATGCGACAGTAAGTAATTCGTGAATAGATATTATTTCAAAAGTATCAAATTGCAAAAATCGTTCTTGTGAAAGTCTGTGTCTGATTTCCTGACCCCCAAATGTGACAATTTTGTCGATCATGATGAAAATAAGCCTCATCACTGAAGATGATTTTCTTCGAAAAATCAGCATCCCTTTGTTTCATAATCCATTCAACAAATTTTCTTCACTCTGTGTTGTCAATAGGCTTCAGTTCTTGAGTCAATGAATCTATAAGCATGAAGATGCAAATCTCGTGAGAATACGCCAGAGCTGGGTAATTACTTGTAATTTAAAAATAGTTACAATTACAAATTACTTTTTAAAAAAAGGAACTAATTACAATTACAAAGTATATTCTTTAAAAAAGGAATTATATTAATTTAATTACAGTTACATGGAAAATGGATTTAGCAATTACTTTTCTAATTACTTTTCTAATTACTTTTATGATAAAGTAAATTATAGTGACCAAACAGAGAAAAAGGAAAAAGTTAAGTTAAAAATTTAAATTAAAAGTGTTGTGTAATATTGCGTTTTATTATTTATTAGAATTGATACTAAAATGAAAAGATTATTCTTATTCANGGTAACCTACGGCCTGCTGTGATTTTTTTTAAAAAGCTGTTTTACACTGAATTTTTTTATGAATTAATTAATTTAGTCATTTTATGAAGTTGGACAAGTGTAATACATTGAATCTGCTGGGAAATAACTTCATGAATTTATTCATGAAGTTCGTCACGAATTAGAACTTTTTCTTTATAATGAATTTCTTCATGAAATAGCAACGAAAATAGTGAGATTAAGTTATTTGTTTACATATTTACTTCGGCACGTTTCTAAAGAGTGTCCCAAAATTCACGCAAGAAGTAATTTTGATAGAATACACAGATTTTTAATTAAAAATTGTTAATTTTTTATTGATCCATAAAGTATAGGGTTATGTATGGAATAGCAAATCAGGTAAATGGCCCCCACGGTTTTGCTGGCATATACACAATCTGGTCGAAATTTTCTATGACCGTTTTAAATTAATGTCTTAACTTTGTTGATACATTGCTTAATTTCCTCCTTTAATGCATGGGTGGTTGTGGACTTCTGGCATAAACCTTTGACTTCAAAAAACTCCAAAGTACAATTCTGGTCACCAAAACGGGAAATTTCTTGACCGAGAAATGACCGTTATTGCCTCACCAGCTGCATTTTCGAAAAAGAATGGTCAGATGCTGTAGCGGTTTTATCATAAGAGCATAAAAATACATACATAAAATTTTATGTATTTAATCATATTAAATATCAACAAAATATTAATATATGCAACCTCATATACAAAATGTGTGCATAGCGAACAGTTAGATGCGTCCTTTGTTTTTATTGGCTAATCAGGCACGTGACCCAGTACACTTTTATATGGGCTTATGTGGCTGCAACAACAACAGCCACTGGGTGTGATATAAAAAATGCATTGTTTTTTTTTTGGTGCTTACTTTTCCATGGGACAAAGCAGGGACAATATACGGTGTGAAAGATTTAAGTCATTTAACTCGGAGCATCAAGAGACGTGAAATAACAAAAAATCATTTGTTGAATGAGGTTAACTTGGACCTATTAGGTAAAATAAACATAAGAAGTCAGTTAGATTCTGTATATAGGGATAATATCCGGAAACGCAATGAACAGGTAACAAAAAATCGTTACGTATTATCTAGAATTATAGATTGCATAAAATTTTGCGGAGCTTTCGAATTAGCACTTCGTGGACATGGCGATACAGAAAATTCGGACAACCCTGGTGTGTTTCGTGGACTCACAAATTTTAGTGCAGATCTTGATGGCATATTAAAAGAACATCTAGAAAAGGCTACAATTTTTAAAGGAACTTCCAAAGATACACAGAATGATCTTCTATAGTGTATGCTTGAAGTGTGCAGAAACAAAATAGTAACTTAAATTAATCAGTCAAATTATGTTGCTGCCATGGCAGATGAAACTGCAGATGTTTTTTCAAAATTTCAAATGATTGTTGTCTTGCGCTACGTACATGAAGGCAGTCCTGTGGAAAGATTTTGGGGATTCATAAATCCTGAAAAGCACGATGCTGAGTCTTTAACACATTCTATTTGTTCCGTACTTGACCCATTATTGAAAGAAAATTGTAATAAATTGATTGCTCAAGCTTACGATGGCACAGCTGTTACGAGCGGTAGGCATGCTGGTGTTCATACTGTGATTGTACCGGGAATTAGCTGTACGGCCCCGGATTTCAGATTTGCACGTATAACTCCCGGAATATAATATA